ATTCAGTTTCAGTAAACACCTCGTTAGATATAATTATTATGATCTCCTCATGGCCTCAGACAATGGACTCTGGTCTTTATACTTGTGCTGCACTGACACCATGGACGTCTTTATCTAACGTCGCTGTCTTGAGGACAACGACAGGTTCAATCATGCAGCAGTCCTTCATAGACATGTACGGCAGCCAAAAGTACAATATTTGTAAGTTTATAAAAAAGAGACTCAAGTAAATAACCGATACTCAAAAAGTGTCCTTAAGTACAGTACTCAGTGTGTGTGTGTCTCTGTGTGTGTGTGTGTGTGTGTGTGTTGTGGTGGTCTCTGTGTGGTGTGTGTGTGTGTGTGTGTGTGTGTGTGTGTGTGTGTGTGTGTGTGTGTCGTGTGTGTGTGTGTGTGTGTGTGTGTCTCTGTGTGTGTGTGTGTGTGTGTGTGTGTGTGTGTGTGTGTGTGTCTGTGTGTGTGTGTGTGTGTGTTGTGTGTGTGTGTGTCTGTCTGTGTGTGTGTGGTCTCTGTGTGTGTGTCTGTGTGTCTCTGTGTGTGTGTGTGTGTGTGTGTGTGTCTCTGTGTGTGTGTGTGTGTGTGGTGTGTGTGTGTCTGTGTGTCTGCTGTGTCGTGTGTGGGTGTGTGTTGCGCTCTGTAGTGTGTGTGTGTGTGTGTGTGTGTGTGTGTGTGTGTGTGTGTGTGGGTGTGTGTGTGTGTGTGTGTGTGTGTGTGGGTGTGTGTGTGGGTGGGGGGGGGGGGGTCATGGTCATGTGATTTCTGAGAAGCTGTGTGATTTCATAGCAGCAGTGAAACAGGAAGTGTGCGGCTCTGTGCTCCTTCCCTTCTCAACTGTTAGTCCTCACTTGGTCCTGACGGTTCACTGTGAAGCAGCTTGACTCTCAGGTAAGACATGATGGATATATTACCAAAATGGAAGTGGATCTAAAATAGAGCCAGATATTGAAGCTCATCCTTATGTTACATCCTAAATAGTCCAAAGGGATTTTTTGACACATATTTAGCATGTAACAAGAGTAACTGTGACTAAAACTAACTAGCTTTATTCTTTTTAAGCTGCTATCATCATATCAATATGAATTTATTGTTCAGGCTTCAGTAGAGGTGAATGTGACACTGACTGAAGAGTTGTATGTCAGATGTGACCGAGCCACATTAACATGGTTCAACTTTTTAAATGTCAAGCATGACTTGGCCATATTAGTTTTTAAGCATCCTATTTATATCTCTTATATTAATTGGTTATTAATTTTTTAATGAGGAGTGCAAGAAATTACTGCTATATTAAAAACTGTAAAGGCAACGGCAGACGATGCAGCAATCGCATGCATTTTCTTCAGGAACTGCAGATGTTCCAGTTTACATTCATTTTGCAAATAAAACATGATTCTTGTGAAATCTTATTTTACTGCCTTTTGTTATGAAATACATTATCTGAATAATCCTTTCTCAGTGTAGGTGCCAGAGTAAGGTGAGTGTCCAGCTCTGTCTTATGAAGGCTTGAAACAATGTACAACCTGACATGGAAGCTTCGCACAGTAATTATAATATGTTGAGAAACTGAAGCTTATGTGTTGGAGTTGAGAGCGCATGCAATAGGCTGTTCATATCTATGGTGTGTTTTGTCCCAGTATGGATCATATCACTATCCATGGATGGTAAATAACCAGTTCAGTTCAACCAGTTGATCAACAATATAACAGCTAGTGTCAGCCCGTTACAAATAAGAATCAGCCTGTCAACTCCTCTCAGGTAACGTAGTGTGAGAAGTGAATTAGTTATCAGTGAAATGTACGTATTGGTTGTCATTGTGGCGGACTTTTAAAAGAGGATGGAATGAAATGAATCAAAAATAATCTAGATGTTGTTGTGTCTAGGTTCTGAGACTCTCCAGTCTCACTAAAATACTTTGTACTGTCTCTCTCATGTGCTGGACATCAAAATACTGCTCAGACAGACAAATACAATTTCAGGATCAGGAAAACCTTCAGAGAGCTGCTGGAGCTGGTTGCTGTGCTTCTGTTAGATAGTCCTAAACCTGTTAAAAACTGCCTAACTGTTCTCTTGACTTCTTTTGTTGCTTTTAACTTGGTTAACTCTTTTTTCCCCATAGGACCAACATGGCATCCACAGACTATGTTGTGGAAAACGCTATCATCGATAAGGGACCTCCTGTCCGTTATCGGCTAACACTGAATAAGACGAACCTTGGTGGAGAGGGAGAAGAAGAGTCCAAGCTCAGAAGATGGACCATAGGTAAAAAAGATCCTAGCAAACAGAATAAAACAATCCTGCTTGTTGGAGAGACTGGAGCAGGGAAATCTAGCTTGATCAACACTATTCTTAACTTTGTAATGGGGGTAAAGAATGGAGATGAACAATGGTTTGAGATTGTAGATGATGCCAAGAAACCCTCAAGATCAGGAAGTCAGACATCAACAGTGACAGTTTACGAGATTTTTGGTTTTGAAGGTAAAACCGTCCCCTACTCTCTGACCATCATTGACACTCCTGGTTATGGAGACACCAGAGGGATTGAATATGACGCCATAATCAATCAAATGTTACACGATTTATTCAGTTCAGAAGACGGGATTCAAGAACTTGATGTAGTGGGTCTGGTGCTGAAGGCGGCTGAGAATCGACTGAGTGACCGACTGAGGTACATCTTCGATTCAGTGATGTCTCTGTTTGGAAAAGACATGGAGAAGAACGTCGTTGCTCTCATCACTCACTCAGATGGAATGCCTCCTAAAAACGCTATTGACGCTCTGGAGGATGCAAAGATTAAATGTGCCAGAAATGAGAAGAATCAGCCTGTTTACTTTGTGTTTAATAACTGCCTGAGCACACAGAGAACAGAGGAAACAGAGTTTGGACTAGGACAAGCGTGGACAGTAACGACGAGGGGAATGCATCAATTTACATCTTTCCTGGAGAAAACCACACCTCAAGAGCTGAAGACAACTGTGAATGTCCTGAATGAACGCATTAGGCTGGCCGCCTGCATTAACAATCTAACACAAAGAATTGACCTGATTAAACTAAACCAGAAAATCATCCAACAGACCCAGGAAGAATTAGAGAAACACAAAGAATCAATGAAAAAAGAACATAATTTCACCATAGAAGTTGATGAGCACTATAAGGAAAAAAAAGATATCGAAGGAGGGATGTGGTTGGTTTTTTATGGTGGAGCTGTCACCTGTAATGTCTGTAAAGAGAACTGTCACTACCCAGGATGCACAATGGCCTGGTATCCAAAACACTGTCAGGTCATGAAACGTGGCCACTGTACTTCATGTACCGGGAAGTGTCCTGTGTCAGATCATGTGAAAGAGAACAAGATCTATGTGAACAAGACAAGGAAAGTTAAAAGAACCATTGGTGAATTGAAACAGAAGTATAAAGCAGATAAAGAGCAGTGTGAGAACCTTCTTTCAGCCCTTCAAACAGAGAAAGAGAAGCTTGAAAAAGAGAAGGATATCTGGCTGGATCAGGCCTACCAGCATGTTCTCAGTCTGGAGCAGATTGCCCTGAATGTTAATTCACTGCTCACTCATGCCAACTTGGACTTCCTGATTGACATGATGAAGGAGAGAGGAGACAAAGAGAAGGTCCAGAAACTGGAGGAGATGGTAGCACGAGTGGATGAAGGAACCAGAGCAGCTCTGCGGTACATGTTGAGTTATGTTGGAGGTAAAGCAACATCACTTGCCAAAGCAGCTGGTAAAAAGTTTGGAAAGAAGTAAAAAACTTACAACAGTGTTTGGAGCTGGACACCACTGTTGTCACACATGGTGGAATCAACTTCTATTGACCTGTGTTTGACCTGAAATAACTGAGCCATGAAATATAACATGGTGAACAACTTCTGTTTTTTGTTGTATGTTGTTTTTACATTAGTGAGCAGATCATGTCAAACCAATATTGTCTGGTGCGATGATGTGGCTGACATCTTCCTCTCTTCACACTCTTGAGTAGAATTTGAATTCCTGTCTGACCGTGGGTTTTTAATCTTGCTAGCAGCCAGTCACTGCGCTCAGGACTGAAATATCTCACCTGCTATTGGATGGATGGCCATGAAATTAACAAGAGACATTCAAGGTCCCCAGAGGATACACCTTAAAACACAAAGTGGTCTTTTCCTACAGTTCCAACATGAGGGTGATAGTTTAAGGTTTTGAATTTGACATCTCTACAGCTGCCGGATGTCAGACGTTGTTGTTCCCCTCAGGATGAACTGTAGTGACTCTGATGATCCTCTGACTTTTCCTCCAGCGCCACCATCAGGTCAAAACTTTAACGTGTCCAAAACGTGGGTTTATGATCAGATACCTGCAGATGTAATGACTGCCCCATCAGCTTCAGCTCTACTTTGTATTTACTGCTTATTAGCAAATGTTAGCATGCTGAACTGAGATGGTAAGAAAACATTACACCTGCTGAACATGCTGATGTTAGCACTGAACACAAAGCACTGCTGTATCTGATACCCAAGACTGACAGTGATGAGGGCTGAACCCACATTGTGGGTCTGAACGGGTCAACCTGAGTCAGGCGACCCTTCAAGAACCTCCTGTCAACCAGGGTTCAACCTGGGCCTGGATATGGTGAACTGGCTCTGTTACCACAAATGGAAATTAATTCATTGTCATTGATACTTTGGTACATTTAAATGTGATTCAGTCAATCCACTGGCAAAGAGAGAAGGGAGTCAGCTGTCTCATGAACAGATCAGACAGAGCTCTGTCTGTGGAAGTGGCTGAACGTTGGTCTGGTTTTACACAACCAGTGTTTTCCATAAGTCAGACAAGTTCACATCCTAGAAAGAGCTTTAAGAGGAACGTGAAGACAGGTGAAGACAGGTGTTGATGTTCTGTGGTTTGATGGATCAGACTTATATTTTCTGCATTACTTCTTGTTTTATTGATTTACTCTTTATGTAATTTGAACTTGTTTGGCTGATGCATCATGTTGTTTTTAAGCCCACTGTGTACTGGATTCTTCACTTGTTTTATTGGTTTTACACATTTACTTTTTTATTAGTTAACATGTATTATTGGTTCTGATTAGTTCTGTAAAAACATCATCATCATCAACTTTATGTTTAACTCTCAGATTGTGTTGTTTAGTTAAAGATACAGAAAAACACCTGAACCACTGAACAGTGTGAAGAAACACAATTTCTGATTTTTTTCATTTCTTAGTTCCATCATGTAAGTTTAAGTTTTTTATGTTTTTCAATCAACACGAGGTTTTGACTCGTTCTGATGTTTTTGTGATACTGAGAGAATGAACTGGTTCAACTTATTGATGAAGATGTAGAACAATGAACGTTACTGAGATGTATTTTTATAAACATGAGATTTTTCTCATTAGAATCAGTTTGTACAGAGTCGTAGTTTTAAGTTTTTAAGTTGTAATGTTGTCAGTGATTGAGGCTGTGATTTATTGGGATG